GGCCGCACGGAGCTGCGCAGGGACAAGTCCCCGGGGAGGCCTCTGGAGAGGGAGAAATCTCCGGGCCGGCTGCTGAGCACGCGCAGGGAGCGCTCCCCAGGACGACTCTTCGAGGACAGCAGCCGAGGGAGGGTGCCTGTGAGTGGGACCAGAACTCCTCTTGCTCAAGTCAATAAGGTAAGTCAGGAGCCTGAAGAACGTGTCTGTTCTCAGGAAGAGGCTCGTAGGTATTGCAGAAGGGCTGGTGACACTTGAAAGCACAAGAGCAGATCAAATCTCACCTCCCTGCTGCTCAAACTCTGTTGGAACAGAGCCCACGTGGTGTCATGCACTGGCCCTGTGACCACCTGCCCTGGGCTGGTTCTGGCACTGCAAAAGCTGCTTGATGCTAGAATGGGCTGAAAGCAAAGGTGCATTTACTAACAAGTGATGGGGGATTTGAAGGGGAACTGGAGCAGGGAATGTGGGAGCCTGCTGTGCTCAGGGTGATGCTGACAGTGCCTGCCTTTGTCAGTGTTTGTGGATGACTGGAGCCCTGGCTCTGTGGGAGCAGCAGGTGATGTACTGCTCCCAGCACCTCGTGCCTGGAGGAGAAACACCTGTCACTTGTAACTTGTCCTTTTATTTCCTTGCCAGGTCTGGGACCAGTCTTCAGTGTAAGTCTCAGCTAGACAAAGTTACTCATCTTGACCTGCAGGAAAAAAAGGAAATATACTGAGTATATGCACTCCATCTGTCTGCAGCCCAGTTCCCAAACAGCATTCCTGGGCCAAAGCTCACTCCGCAGCGGGAGCCGTGACGCTTTCCAAGACCGTTTGCAGCTCAGTTAATTTCTCTGCACTTTCCTGCACTCCTGTTTTTGCACTTTGTACTACTGTTACTCTTTCAAGCAGTTCATGAACTTTTTGTATCCACTTTAGTCCCTAGTAGTTCATCCAGGAAATGGGACTCGTGTCCTACCCCAGGTCATCACTGTGGTTAGCGCCCCTTAACAGAGAGTTGGTCATAGTTCTGAGACGTGCTGGGATCCCCTGATGGCCTGGAAACAGAAGGGCCAAGGTGAGTGAGTCTTTCAATAGGAGCTGTGGTTGGATGTTCTCCACAGAACACAAGAAAAATTTCTTCTGATTAGCCTGTTCACCTGCCACTTCTGAAAGTTATTTTGTTCTCACTAAAATCGCTTTAGAGCAGCTCTGATGGGGAGGGAAGACCCCTGCTTTAACCAACGCCCCTGCCCGGCCCTAAGACAAAGTGCATTACCTATGAGCTACTGGGTTGTAAGACTTTATCCAGGTCTTCTGCATGACAGTTCACTGCATGCTGCTGCACCATCACTGGCTCTCTCCTTTTAGGTTGCTTTGCTGAGTAGTGTATTGTACCTCACTTGTAAATTAACTGAAACCTTTAGATCACGCTGCAAAATAGCCGTTAATTACTCTGGAAATTTGGCACCGAAGAGTTAACAAGCCTTATTCTATGACAAGAATTACAGTCACACTTGTGTTCTCCTCTCAGCACTGGACATGGTCTCTTCAGCAATGAGTCCTGCCAGCCTCAGCTCCCCAGGGGGAGCAGCCCGGGCTGGCTCCTCCCTTGAGCTGTAGCTTGTCGTGCAATCAGATCCGGTGTCTTGGCACAGGACACCCACAGGGAGCAGCTTTGGCAGTCGCTGACACACCTTCGCTTCCCCGTGTTTGACCTCGAGCCTTTTATTGCTTCCTATTCTCTTCTGCTGTGAACATGAAGCAGAGAGCAAATGATTTTCAAAGCGGGTTTTGACCATTCACTCTGCAATAGCAACATTCTAAGTGAACAACCATGTTCTTTACAACTGGAAAGAGCAAAACTGCATCAAATCTTCCCTTGGAGCCACACTTAACTTCTGCTAGTCCCTTGCAAGCCTGTGCTAACCTGTTCTAGAAACCCATCAAAATTCCAATGCCTTGTCAGTGTCCTTTGGCGAGTTTCATGAATATTGTATTCTGTTCTCTTGTCTGTTGGGTTATTTTCAGTCAGATGATTTGGCAGGAAATTTGCTGAAAGTTTTTGTCTCCTGGTCTGAATATTTTGAAAGGTCACTGAGATCAGTCTTTAAATCTTTGCATCTCATGGAAGATCTTCAAGACCTCAGAAATGGGCTTGTTGAGTCCTGAAAGTGTATATCTTGTGTCTTGTTTGTGAAATGCTTCCTGCTATAGAAATAGCTCAAAGGACTGTACATATTTACAAGAAACTTTATATTCGTAACAAAAGGGAATTGAATTGGTTTCTACTTTTTTATTGTAAACTGTGCGTTTTTCAACACTGGCTTTTTGTTTTACTGGTGGTTGTGGACAGCCATCTTCAGACACTGGAGGGGCCTCGCCTCAGTCCTCCTCGCTCCCATGAAGAAATATTGTAACATTAACTTGCAATTGAAGCTTGTTAGCATAAATGAGGTTTTAGGTCTCTAAAAGTACAGGATTTTTCTTCATTACCTTTTTATTATTGACAAGGGAGGGAACCAGAGGGACAGTTCAAAGCTCCACCTGGAAAGTATTGAACTTTGTTGTTGAACAATAACCAAATAAAACAAATAACTATCTTGACTGGCATGGTGAAATGACGGCTTCCTTCTCTCTGGAGTGCCCCTGCCCCTCCTGCCCCACACCTGGCTCTGAGCTGGGCAATCCTAGGTGTCACAGCTGACCCAAGAGCAAACCCTGGCACTATTTAGCATTTAATACTCGTCACTCCCTGAACAGTAGCATAAGTGGCTTCAGAAACCCCAGGCATGTTCACATGCACTAACCCAGGTGGATTTATCCTGCACTAGAGCAGCAGTCAGCTGCAAGCACCTCCAGCTCAACCCTGCCTCAGCCGTGAGAGGGGCAGAGGTGAAGCACCTGTGAGTATCTGGGAACAGTCTTACCCTGGTCACTGACCCCACACATCCTGAGCTGGAAAAAAAGGCATCTTAATTAACTACAGTTAATTGACAGGTTTGGGACTTACCCCAGCACTGTACTGGGAGCAAAGCAGAGGGAGGCAGCTCCTCATGCCACTGCTGTAACATGCTGGTGCTTTAAGGCCTAATAGCTGCAACTTTAAAAAAAGACCATTCACAAATCCAGTCAGATTGAGTACAACCTGCAGTTACTGTACAGCTCAACTTACACCTGCTGGGAAAACTTGCTAGATCAGACTTCAATGTAAATACATCTATTTTTAACTGAACTAGTTTTTACAGGGTCTGAAGTATTCTTTCACAGGAAGAGGTTTTTAATATTCACACTGCTGCCTACAGTAACTTAATTTGTCCTCCTACTGTTGAGTGTTTTTGGTTCTGTGCACATAGCCACCCCCTCAGCCCCGAGAACGGGCTTGCTGGAGGCTGTGGGGGTGGGTTACCAATGGCTCCTCTTACGTTCTGGTCTACATGACATTCTCCATGAAAATGCTCTCCATCAACCCCTGAGCTGCTTGATTTATCTATTGTGCCTACTATGATGTATATGATGAAATGCTGACTTGTTCAATGTTCCTTTATTTCTTTTACTGTGCACAAACAATACTTATTTAAAGCTCATTGTTGCAGTCCTATTGATGCATGATCCGAATTGTAACAGAACTAAATTAATCCAGAAACTGGTGGAGTAAAACAAAATAATTAATTATTTATTGAGCTTTTTGATTCCCAAGAACCCTGCACAAATCCATGTCAGCTTGACCCCCACATGCTGTGCTGAAATTCAGGGGGTTGGGGAGCTCTTATTATTCCTGTGCTGGTTTAATCCAGGGTCCCCAAAAGTGACTGTAACAAACGTGTCTGCATCTACCTTTAAAAAATGTGCTCTCCTAGCAACAGCCAAGAATAAACATAACAGCACAGACTGTGAGCTGTGGGTGGGGAATGTAAGTGAGCTAATAAATCCAACTCTTGATCCAGCTTTTGCCTTTGGAGGGATTTGATTCATCCCATTGCAATAAGGGAACACAGAGTGATTAATCTAATTCATTCACCTGTCAAGCAGAAAATGACCTAGGAAAAAACCCAATAAAACACCCGAAAACCCACCTCCCAGAAAAAACCAAAACAAGTTTTTATCTCTTAGCTTACCTCTTTATCCACCCTTCTGGAGAGAAAGGGATCTGGGGGGCTGAGGGTGGCAGTGCCTTACCTGAGGAAATCTGTGGCTCCTGGGACTGGCAGTTGAGGCCACAGGTGCCAGGGAACAGCTCAGAGCCTCCATCACCTGCTGGAAAGGTCTGGGGCACCTGGGCACCCCTGGGCAGGGCAGGGTGGAGCAGAGGGAGGGTCACTCCTGCAGGCCCTGCCACACCCTGGGCTCCCCCCCAGCCCTCACAACTTTTTGGGGCTGCAGAAGCTGATGGTGCAGTGGCAGCTGCAGTCCCTGTACTGAACCCTTTGCCAGCTTAAACAGGCCCAGGGGCTACAAATTCAAAATTAAAAAACCTGAAGCTTTCTCCACAATAATTATTCCTGTCCTGTGGTTCCACCACACCTGATGCACTGATGAAGAATGTGGAGTGCTCTACAGGTACCAGCACTGAGCACACATCCCACAGCCCTGGCATTCCCTGGAGCTGCTGGACACTGCAGAGGCACAGACTGTCCCCTCACACTGCTGGACCCGACCCCAGAGTCACCCTGCTGAGGACAAAGACTTGGGGAAAAAGGTCTGCTGGAACAAAGAGAAGCTGACAGGAGGCTTAAGGCCCATCCCAAGCTTTCAAGCTCTGTTGCTGGAGTTTTTAAATAATTGACTTCTTGTCCTTCCTCTAAACTTTACATCAGAAATAAACAATAACACCTGGGTCTTCTTCACTGACTGAGTGCAAGAGGAGAAAGTGTTTCAATCTGCATCGCTGAATGAGAAGCTTGTACAACCCACCAAGGCATAAAACTGCAATCAGGAAATCACATGTAACAACAAAATAACTCACTGAAGGCGAGGTTACCACAGATGGGAAGGGTAACAACAAGACAAGTCACCCGCTTCTCTTGAAAATGTTTTATTTGTTTCTAAGAGGTTGAAAACAAGCAATTCTGTAGTTCAGAATACCAAATACTATCCATAGCACAGAATGAAGAAAGAGTTTTCAGAGAAAACCATTGCACTAGACCCAGATCTACTCAGCTACTGAAGATATTGCAACAAGGCTGGTGAACAGACCCCAGGATGGCGAAGCACCCTCCCACTGTGGCTCACTCCACGCTGGCTGCTGCAGCTCTGTCCCCACTCAGACTCCCCACAGACTTGTGCAAAGTGCTTTCCTCCCCCACAGTGGCACGGGGCTGGTTCTCATTGGCACAGTCACGGTGCCCCAGGCACCAAAACAGGCCGGGGAAGGGCCCCTCCTGCGCTGGCTCCTCCTGGGCAGGCCTGGGGCACACTGGCAGCAGGTTTGCATTAATGTTGCATTTGTTTTGGGATAAAACAGGCTGTCAACACCAAGGACAGGCAGCCTAGCATTACTATAATCACCTAGAAAACAGAAACAGAATACAAAGTTGCCCGCTCCAGGCCTGGGCACAGAGGGCTGTGGCATCGCTGCATCCAGCACTCTGCAACTGCTGACACCGAGGGGTGAGTTTGGCCACTGGACACAGGAGACTTACAGTCACCTTCAGGCTGTTACTGAGGAACTCATCCCTAAACTGAATCCATCCATTTCCTCCCAGCCACCTCTCCCAGCTTAAGGAAGTCCTCATCAGTGACAGCAAGAGAAACCAGTTTCCAAAAGCAGATTACTGCAAGACACATTTACGATTTACAGAAAAATCCAGCCATTAAAAATAATTGTCTTTACCAGAAATTCCACTGGGGAAAAATGTATTTCAGTTCTCATGAAGAGAAAAAACTACAGAGCTATTCACAGTAGAAACAGTGCACCCCACTCTACCGTAAAATAATAATGAGCTTGTAGTGATTATGTTGCTGATTTTGCCCAGAAAAGGCTGCTACAAAATGACCATCAATATTCACACTTAGTTCAGCCAGGCAAGTTGTGAACTTGCTACTGAAATAATGATTGATGAGCAACAGAAGCAGCAATGAGCTTGCTTTTGCTGAGTGTTATGCTCAAATCAGATTCCCCAAGAATCCTGAACTTTCTAGGCTTTGGGCTGGCAGACTCCCAGTCTGCCTCGCTGCTGAAGCTCTTTGATCTTTGCTGCCCTCACATTATTCAGCCTAATTAAATTGGTGGTTTTTTAACTGAGCTGACAAGGGGCACTGACACCTTTGCCACCTGTCTAGTCGCTGTGAAGCTGCCATTTCCAAGAACTTCCAAGGTGGGGCTAACAAAATAAGGCAAATACAGGAGAACCTGGAAGTCTCAGGAAAAATATGAAATCAGAGTTTGTTTGCTACAGCACAGAGCAGAAGTACATTTGGTTAAGTGAAGCGTTTTTTCTGAGACTGCACTGGCCCAGAACAATTGGTCACACATGACTGTGATGCTCATATTGGCTTGTACAGCAAAGTGGTGACGTATTTCTTCTTGTAACGGTGTGTAGCACTGAGCACCATCACTCCATCCTACAGGGGAGGGAAAACAAGTGAGCATGTGCCATGGTCAGACACCCAGGCTGCCCGTGTGCAGGCTGTGCCCTGGCCTCTCACCTTGATGGAAAGTGCATACAGGTGGTTCAACATGACATGGTTGGGCTCGGGGAGCAGAGCGGGGTCACACTGCAGAGAACAGGGACAGTGGGACAGAAACAGAAATCACAGTTCACTCCTCACAGCTGAGGGGTGACAAAACAGCACCTGTGACCAGCCACACCCCCAGCACATCACTGCTGCTCACACTGAGCTCATCACAAACACAGCCACCATTTCTGAACAACCCCAGATCCCTCTGGGTAAAACCCTCTGCATCCTCACCAGGACCATGAATCAGACTGAGATTATCCCTTATGTGTTTCTGGTGTCTTAACAGTTGATAAGATTAAGGTTTTGGGAGGAAAACGATCTAGTTTTTCATTTTAAAGACAATCAACTAGAAAACCAGATTTACTTCAGATGAATCCATCAGGACATACATCACAAGGAACATAACACAGTAACTTATCCTAAGGTTTTTCCTAAGCTATCCCCTGCCTGTATCCAGATTTTTCCCCATCTGTTCCCACCCTCAAGTGCATTATTTAGCGAACCAAAGTGATGTACTCACAGAAATGCCTGTGTCCTTGTTCAGGATGACCTGCAACAGGTGTGGGGGGAGAATGGGTGGAGATTTAAAGCGCTCCTCTGCCTTACAGACATAGGGCTCCTGGTGGTACGGTCCTGGGGGTGAACTGGACAGCTCTGCCAGAGAGATGATAAATATTTAATCCTAAATACTTGGTAGGAACATCTGCTCTTTATAGGGACTTGCAGCCTAAAGGAATCAATGGCACTTAAGTACAACAACTGCAGCAGCTGGTGCAGTGCCAGAGGATCAGTCACTGCCCAAGAGGGGATTTAAGGTGCCCAAAGTCTGACTTGGAATGAGCTGTGAGGTTCTGGGCAGCAGAGTTCTGAGGGCACAACTGCACTTCAGATCTTCTCTGTCACCTCTGCCCAGCACTTCTGCTGCAAACACTCCACAGAGCAGGCTGCCCTACAAGGCTCCTTCCAAGGGATGTACAGAAACACGGGATGCACCTGTCAAAGACAACTGCTCCCCCCTGCAGACTGGGCTGTGGAAAGAGCCCTTCAAAGTCTAATCAGGGAAAGCAAATCCTGCCACAGCCTGTAGGGGAAGACATCTAGAATCTCCCCCTGGCCTGCCCCACAAATAAACACTTTCTCCAAAAAAGGCTTTGTTCAGGCAAAGCTGCACAGAGCAAAACACACCCTCCTGCTTCAGGTTCAAAGGTCTTCTGAAGGAGGGTGTAAGGTATGGACTCCATCCCTACAGAGCTCAGTGACCAAACAGGGTAAAGCTGACCTCAGACACAGCTCAAGCTAAATCCCACCTCTCTTCTGTTACACTAGAACAGAAAAGTTAAGGCAAAAATTGCACTTTTGTATTATTTTTTGATAAATAATTTATACTACACTGTGAGGATACTCCCAAGCCTGTGTTAGCACTGAGATGAACCTAATTTCTCCCTCCTAAAGTGCAATTTCTGACCCCCTCAGCCACCTCCTTAGCAGAGGAAGACTGAATTAAGAGCAATGTAGGTTGTCAGCATTGGTTTGATGTGGTAAAGCAGAGACTGATCCACCAATGACTGCCCTAAACTCAACCATTGCACACAGCAGGGGCAAACAGTGACTGAGCACCCAGGACTTTCTCATCATCAGATCTGTGTTGCTTTGTCATAGGCTTCCTCCTCTGTGCATTCCACTTTCTTTCTTCGGGCATTTTTGATTCCTGCACACATCCACAGGGCCTGACACAAGTGCAGATTAATCTCTGCTGGAGCTTTAACTCAGATAAAAAGGGAAAATGAAATTTTTACCAGCTCTAAGAAGTGTGACATAAAGTTACCAGCAAGCTCATACCAGACATGTCTGAACATTTTTGGGAGTCCACCATCAAAGCATCGAACACTTCAAAGTCAGTTTTCTTCACCTGGATGACATTGTTGACAGTACCCAGCTGGCTGGTTACTACTGGCTGGCAAGAGACAAGAGAGAAAAAACAGAATAAAAACAGCCTGTGGGACTAATAGAGTCTCAGAACTACACAATTACCAAGAATGAGGTACATTACTTTTGAAATATGACAGAACCAGATATGAGAAGAGCTCAGCAGGTGTTAGGTTAAGAGGAAGGATTTTATGAGGGGTTATGAGAGGTTAAGAGCAGGATTTTACAGGCTGGGAGGGGAAATGCCACCAGGGTCAGGTATTACTCTTGCCAACAGGGCAAGAGTTACCTGTGACACCAGCTCTGGACACTGAGTTCTTAAGCACAGGGGGACCTGCTGGGCAGGCTGGGGTTAGAGCTCATTTTATAGCAGAGGAGGGAAACCAGGCCTGGTGGACATTGGCACAATTACTGGACTATGAAAAGATTTAGAGCAGCAATAGCACCACGCTGGCACAGAGAGCCAGGAAGGCACAGTGAGCTCTGGGCTGCCAGAAGTGCTACAATGCTCTAAAAGGCAGTTTGGCACCGGACAAGAAAAGCTTGGCATCACTTATAAACCAATGGCCAAGAGATCCTGTCCCTCATTGCATCTCCTGCCCTCTGAGCCCAGTCCAGTGCTGCCACCCAGGCCAGCAGACATCAGAAACCTCTCTCTCACCAGCTTGAAGAGCCCCTTTCTCCTCTTCAGAATCTCAATCAATAAACAGTGACTCCAAGCAAATATTACCTCTGCAGGATCATGTGTCCACTGCCCATCCACGAGGAACTTGTACTGGTGCTCTCCTTCTGGCAGGTCCAGGATTGCCACAAAGTTGTTGTGACTGGAATTTAAGACAAACAATCAGCCCTACAACATTTTAAAAAGTACCTTGGTCTCTAAACCGTGACACACACTGTGACACAGAGCACGAGCTTCCTCAACGTGCAAAACCTTAAAAAGGCAGAGAATGTCTGATGCAATCCAAAGGTAAAGAATCAAATTATGATTAATGCTCATGATAATTTTCTCTGTGACAGCAAGTCCCCCCCCACTCCTGACGTCCCATAACTGGCACTGAGCTTTTGGAAAGTCTCTCATGTCTTCATGTTACTTGTTAGCACACAAGACCTCATTTATCTGCTGATGGAACAAGATCAGCTTTCTCACATTTCCTTGCCTTTCAGTATTTGCCATCATAAATTACATTTCCTAAATGCCCATGAAATAAATGAACAAAGAGCAGATAAAAGCAGCAGCTCAATACTTCTGGGTCTGAATAGCTGCTGCTTGGCCATTTCCATACTCCTTGGCTATGAACCAGAATCTTCAGAAGGCTTTACCAGCATCTCAAAAGAGCTGAGAAACAGCTGATGCTGCTCCAACAGGCCACAGTCTCTGTCTGAACCCTCTGAGCTGGGCAAAAGCCACTGACATGGCAAGGATGTGTCACCAGAGACCCTGTGCTAGAACCAGCTCCCCTTTCCACAGCCCAGCCCCACTCCAGGCCCAGACTGCACAGCAGGGACTGTTTGGGGTTATCTGTGTGTTGTGCCCAGTGAACTGACACACAGCTGGACAACTTCCACCCTGTGCCATCCAAGAATGGAAAAGGCAGATTGTCATCAAGGGCCTGAGGAGAGAAGCAGGACAGTGGTAAATCCAGCACAATCCCACCTCTCAGCTGACCACCTTCCTCATGGCCCTGAGCACTCCCAGTCCATGGGGAGCAGCACTGCAGCACCACTTCATTACCTCCTTGTCAGAGGAATTTTACTCCAGTTGTTGAAGGAGCCTGATAAATAAACTTCTTTCCCTCCTCCAGTCCAGCGGAAGACTGTTGGCCGAGCTTGAGTGGGGGTTTTGTCATTCACTTCCAGATCTTGCTGCCAAGCTAGAAATTCTTCTTTCTCCAAAGGAGCCTGCAAGCACAATGCCTCAATCTACAAAGGTTCTTTTCTGGCAGTCTCAGACAGCCTGTGCTGCGCTGAATAATTTTTTTGCCCTCAGGATTCTCTAAGTCTCTAAGTCTGCTACAAGCAGTTTTTGTCAGATACAGAATACAAGCTGCATTTCTAGATGCTGTTCACAAGCTCATTTGCACAAATACTGCCAGGGTGTTAAAGCTTTCCAAATTTGCAGCAAGAGTGGAAAGCAAAATAATGCCCCTCCCTCCAGCCCAAATGACACCTGCTTAAACACCAATTCACTCTCTCCTTGGCATGGGAAGGAAGGGGGATGGTCAGCTTTGTGCAAACTCAATGACAAAATCCCTGCAGGCTGCAAACAGCCCCAGAGCATTCCAAGCAAGCAACGCTGGGAGAACAAACCAGCAATACCTTCATTTCCTCTGAATGGAACAAGTCTGCATCTTCAGGACTGTCCATTAGGATTTTTGGTCTGTCCCCCTCTTTGGGGGCTCCTCCTGAGCTGTCCCCTCGGGAGCCTTTGTGCCCATGGCGCTCCAGTCCCGCTCGCTCGCTGCTCGTGTTCCCCATTTTTATGGGTCTAAAAGAGCAGGGAAAGCCAGATTAGCACATGCACTCCCACAGCTGGGACGCCAGCAGACAGGAAAGAAAACTCATCAATAGCCTTGGGCTGTGGTTTTGAGTTGAAGAGCTTCAGAAACTTGATTAACCCATTGTAAAGTGATACCATACTCTGAACAAAGACACTAAATGAGTTTTTAGCTACTCCTGAAAGTGCTACAGTTCTGTAGGAGAGCACCTCTACCAGACTCAGCCACTCCAGAAGCTGCCCAAGCAGGTCCCTGCCACACAACACAAAGCTGCTGTGTCTCTGAGCTAAGGGCTCGTCCTCTGCCTCCCCGTGCCCATAGCGCTGCACCGGGGAACTTTCTGTCACAACGCTCCAAAAGCAGCCTACCTGCAATGGGATTCACTAGAACAGCGTTATCTCACCCTGCTGAGGATGTGAGAGCAGCTGAAGGGGGCTCTAAACAAAGACTCACAGAGTGTCCTGAGCTGGAGGAACCCACAGGGACCAGCCAGGCCGGCTCCCGGCCCTGCACAGACACCCAACACTCGCAGGCAGCGCCTCAGAGCGCTGTCCCGGAGCTCGGGCAGCCTCGGGGCTGTCACCACGCCCTGGGGAGAGCTCAGCCCCGCTGCCGCTCCACGGACGCTCCCTCCGTCCCCGCTTTCCCCTGGGAGAAGCAGCGCCTGCAGAGCCCCAGCCCTGCTGCCGCTCAGCCCCGCCTGGATGCGCACGGAAGTCTCTCCAGAACGGGGCCCGCAGGCGCGCCCTCC